CAACTTCGCCAAGCTCCCAGAAAGCGTTGCCCGTTGACTTCAGTCAGATTCAATGATGTGTCTCTGCACAGCTTCCCTCCCGGCAGCCACGGCCGCAATGCCCACCACGCGCAGGGCCCAACCCGGTGGCCAGGACTGCTCGCATCACCCACCCCTCCCCTCCCTCCCAGCCTTCAATACAGACATGACTCTCACAGTCCCAGCCACTGCTCTGAGGCTACACACAAGGCCTGGGACACCCCACGTCACAGAGTCATCACCAGAAACCACCTGTATTGGGTCCGAAAGAGCAGCCCAGGGCTCACCAGAGCCCCCCGCCCACTGTTAGGTAGGTTTTCTGTTTAGAGTTGCACGCTGCCTCCCCGGCAGAAATGCTCTCAGCAAATTACACAACTCCGGGACCTGACCACAGCTGGGTCATCCCCTCCCTGGCCCATCCGGGCACGCACTCCCATTCCCCGGCTCTGCCCGAACCAGCTTAAGACGGTCCTACCCTGGCCACCTGCAGCATCTGTCAAGTGGGACAGACCTCAGAATCCAGCAGCATGCAAAGGGAGGCTCGCACGACGCCCCCGGACTCTGCCCAAGAGGACTCATTTAGCTTCGCTCTTCGAAGCCCCCCTGCCCTGGACCATTTGCACTAAAGGAGGTCCCAGCCGCCTGGCCCCAGAAGCTCTGAGCCGGAGATGAGCAGTTGTTGACCAGAAGGGCCCAGAAGCTGGTTCCCTGTCCAAGAGGAGAAAAGGATGATGATACCAGGTGGACAGCGGGTGGCCGCCCTGCCCCTGCCCCTGCCCCTGCCCCACAAAGGTGCCACCTGATCCTGTGCCGTCTGTCCAGCCCACTGGCTCCTCCTGAGTAGGTCCTTGGGTCCCTGGACAGGGGTGCCAACGCAGAGCCCTCCCCCAAACTGCCCGTCCTGTGCTTTGGAACCGGAAATCGGGGTTTCTTCTGGAAGCCGCTCTGCCCAGGATTCTTCTGGAAGAAGACCCTGCCCAGCCCCCTGGAATGAGACCAAGAAACGTGCATTTTAATACGAACTCCAGCAGCCCCTGGATTTTGATGGGTGCCGGGGTCCTGGGCGGGGGAGGGAGGGGAGCCAGGAGGTACCCCCGCTGGGAGAGTGGGGGTGCTGCCCGCTCCCCCCACCCAAGCTCATACTTGTCCCTCAGAAACTCCTCAGCCTCCCTCGGGACACACCCGGGTCCCGCTCCAAGATGCCACCACAGTGAGAAGCTTCAGGCTACAGAGGCCCTACCTCGACCAAGCCTGCCAGCAAGGAACCGGGCAGCCCCGAAGCCACGCTCCACCCCGCCCCATCTGCAATGAAATTCTCAAGGAAGCAGCTCACAGAGGTGCCCTGACAACCCCCTCCTCGGTCCTCCCTTCTCTGGCAGTGATCAGTATAAGCAGAGTCTGACGTACACTCGGCTCTCGGAAGCAGAGGGCGGGGGGAAAGGACTTTCAACCCAGTGCTCCTGGGGCTCCGTGTCCCACCCAAGGGCCTGGCCAGCAGGTGGCCGCGGGCCCGGCTGGCCAGGCTGGCTATGGGCAGCATTGTGAGGAGGTGCTCAGCCATGGCGGGGGTGGCGTCCAGCAGAGAGGAAGCCAATAAAGGCCACGTGGAAAGTGACATCTGGAACCGAATGTTTCATTCAGATGGGGGGGGGGGGGGCTCGAGGGGGAGGGGACAGGTGAGTCTGAGGGTGATGGGCACTGGGGACCCCCTCCCCACCCTAATGGCCTGGGGCAAGCGAGCCCATTTCTCCACACCCCCAGCTCCATCTCAGCCCCCCCCCCCCCCCCGCCCAGGGTCCCTCTCTCCACCCCCCCTCCACCCCCCTTAGGGTCCTCAACCTTCCCCTGGCCTTCCCCCCCCCACCCCCGGCGGCCAGCCCGAGGCCTCACAGGTCACAGGCGCCCACCCCCCTCAAAGCCAGTTCTGCAAACAAGCAAATGGGTGGCCCCGAGAAGTAAGAGCCACGGGAAGACATTTTGGGCCAGCCAGAGAACTTTCTCGCACACGTCAGACTGCCCCCGTTTGGGGCGGGCTGCCTTGGAGAAGACAGGCCTCGCTGGAGGCGGCGGGGAAGCCTAGGCCTGTGGCGATGTGACGAATGCTCTGACCTCTAAGGAACCTTCCAGAGCTGGGAGAGGGAGCCGGTAACTTGGGGAAGGGGGAGGAGCGGGAGGGAGGAAGAGGCTGCGGATGTCAGGCCGGTTACTGGGGCAACAGAGCATTTATAGCACCAGGGGGGAGGGGGGAGGCGGCTCGGGGGAGGGGCGGCGGGCCGGGCTCTGCCTTCCAGCCACAGGCCCAGAGGACAGCGACAGCGGGGCCAAAGGTGACCTGAGTCCCAATGGTCTCCGCTAAGCCTCCCGTTTCCTGTCATCAGAACCCGCCGGCTAATATGTGGGGTCGGAAAGGGTCTGGCATAGGGGTCCATGTAGGTCACATCCCCAGCATGTGTCCCATCCGGGGGACCCCCTCGCAGCCCCCACAGTCAGGCCCCTGCTCCCAGCTAAGCCTGGGGCCAGCAGCTGGCTCGGCCAGGGGCGCTGCCGCCACACACAGGGACCCGAGTTTGATCCCTGGCACCAAGTGGCGCCCTGAGCACATCACCCACCCACCTTGACTCGTCAGCCCTCGGCCGCCGGCCCCCCAGAAAGACTCTGCCTCGGTAAGCCCAGCCCCCTGCTGCCCCCACCCCAACCCACAAAGATGCAAAGGGGCCGTTGCACAGGGCAGAAGCCAAGGGAGAGAGGCCAAGGTGCCTCAGGCACCCAGAGGGCCACAGGGCTGAGGCCTGGGGGTCCGGGAGGGGATGTGCAGCCCAGCCGGCCCTCTGGCCGTGGAGTCCCGTTCCCCAGGACACACGCCTCTGTCGCAGCCCATCAGTAGCAGAGTCACCCTGAAATGTAAGGGCTGGTGGCCCAGTCGGATTCTGTCCTCACTCTCCCTCCTCCCCACATTCTTCCCACTTGTCGATGACCTTAGGGGTCTCCGTGGGGGTTGAGAAACCCCACAGAGCACCATTCATGAGTAACCCTACAGAGCAACTATTCATGAGTAACCTCAAGAGCACTGTAGTGAGTAACTATGGAGCACTATTCACGAGTAACCCTGTGGAGCACTGTTGTAAGTAACCCTATGGAATGCCGTACGTTTTTCTAAGTTTGGGGGAATTATTTGACCTCAAGAGCAGAAGCAGCATCGCCAGACTCCAGGGAACATGCACACAGACATCTTTCTAACAACAGAAACCACGCAAGGATGCACACCAGTCCGAACAGAAACGAGAATTACGGGCTGACCAAGGGCTGCCGTGCGCCCACCTGGCCTCTAACAAGGCTGGAGTCCACGCCGGTGAGGCTGGGACATGGAACACAGGCCTCGGAGCAGGGTTAGGAGAGGGGCGGGATTCTCGGACACGGAGGCGTCACCTCCACGAGCTCTGTGGCACGTGGCTCACGCTTGGTTGCTCCACTCCCCAGCCGGGCCCTGGGCCTGCCCGCGCGCCCCGGCACTCCCCGAGGATCTGACACGGGGGTATGCATGTCCCTCCACAACACACACACAACACACACACACCCAGGTTTACACACACACATACACACACACATATACACAGACACACACATACACATACACAGAGACACAGACATACACAGAGATCACACACAGATACAGACACACAGATACACAGACACACATGACACACATACACAGACATATACACATACACACAAAGACACACATAGACACACACATACACATATACACACATACACAGACACACAGACACACAGACACACACATACACATACACAGAGACACAGACATACACAGAGATCACACACAGATACAGACACACAGATACACAGACACACATGACACACATACACAGACATATACACATACACACAAAGACACACATAGACACACACATACACATATACACACATACACAGACACACAGACACACACATACACATACACAGAGACACAGACATACACAGAGATCACACACAGATACAGACACACAGATACACAGACACACATGACACACATACACAGACATATACACATACACACAAAGACACACATAGACACACACATATACATATACACACATACACAGACACACAGACACACAGACACACACATACACATATACACACACAGACATACACACAGACCACACACAGATACAGATACACATGACACACATACACAGACATATACACATACACACAAAGACACACATAGACACATACACACATAGACACACATGCACACACAGACACATACAGACACATATACACACACACAGACACACAGATACACAGACATACACACACACACAGACACACACATGTACCACATACACACACACACACACACACATGGGTTCCAGTGTCTTGCCTCCCCTGGGCGTGCCAACAGTGGACGGTGTCACTTCTGCGCGTTCCCTCCCGACAAAGGCCCCAGCCCGGCTCAGAAATGCTCTCAGGGAGCCACAAACCCTGCTGAGGCCTCCTCTCTGGGAGAGAGAGCGCCCGAGCCTCACCGGGAGGGCGAGGCAGCCCGTCCCCTCACCCAGGGAGCGTGTCAGCGGGCCACCAGCCTGGTGTGACCCAGCAGGGTGGGCAAAAGGCCTGGGGCAGAGTCTCAGAGGCCCCCAAGCCAGCGAGACTGGCACTCGGCCCCCATGGGCACAGCTCGATCGCTTCGGAGATGGTCAGCGCCGACCTCTGCCCAGTGTCCAACCTGCTGAGTGACAGCGCAGGAAGAGGATGTCACCAGGTCACACGCAGCAGGTGCTGCAGCGGCTGTCACTGTCCCCGCTGGACAGATGAGGAAACTGAGGCAGCGAGAGGTGCGACAGGCCCACTCTGAGCTGTGGGGGCCTGAGGACCGGGAGGAAGCTAGTGGGCGTGCCTGACCCCTCAGCCCGCCCCCGGTGCCACCACGCACTCCCTCGTGGGCGCCCACCTACCCCGCCATGACGATGAAGAAGTCCAGCCGGTTCCAAGTGTCGCCCAGGTAGCACTTTTTGCCGAAGATGCCCAAGGCCACCATCTTCAGCACCATCTCCATGGCGAAGAAGATGAAGATGAAGTCGTCAAAGACCTGCGGGGACAGAGGGCAGGCAGGAGCCAGGGAAGGTTGGGGTCGGGGAGCAGAGCCTGGGGGGCAGAGTCCCCAGAGAGGTGTGAAGCAGGGCAGGACCCCGGGGTCAGGGGGAGGACCTGGACATGCCCCCTGGCTGGGAGGGAGACAAAAGCTTCCCTAAGTCCATTCATGTCCACTGCCTACGGATGCCTACCCCGCTTGCTCTGTCCAGTGCCTACCGTCAACCTGAAAGCTTGCCCCATCCCCACGGAGACCCCCATGGACAGCTGCGTTTGACAGAGGAGAGAACCAAGACTCAGAGAGGCCAAGCCACTTGCTCCACATCACACTGCAGGAAGAGGCAGAACCGGAACCCATACTCGGTCCCGTGTGGCTCTGAAGGAGTTTTGTCCAGACAGGCCCAACACCCCAGTGGGTGACCTCATGCTGCCTTCCTGGGTTCAAAAGGAGGATGCAAGTGTTTCCCTCTGCCAGGGGCTCAGGCGACGACAGGTCCTAGGGGCGTGGGGGAGATCCTCTTTCCAAACCCACAGGGGCTGCAGTTCATGCAGCCAATGCGCGCAGGGCAAGGCGCGTGTGCAGACCCACCACCCGAAGGAGGCCTGGCCGCTGTCCGTGGGGGTAACGGGGGCGATGTTAGCAGGCCAGTCCTGAAGAGCTCGGCCTGGGGAAGGGCTGGGTTTCCGCAGAGGACGGTCAAGGTCACTGGCGCTTACTGCTTGGCACCCCTGCCAAATGTGGGTTTGCAGGAACCAGGAGGGGGCCCCGGGCTGGGGCAGAGGCCCAGAGTTGGAGGGTGGTGGGGATGGAGGCACGAGACCACCAAGGGAGCAAGGGGGCGAGTCCAGGTGGGAGTGAGGAAGAGGGCAGCCATCGGAGCAAGGGCCCAGCAGGGCAGCAGAGACTTGAGGGGGAGGTGGGACCTGGCAGAAGGGAGTGGGGAGCAGACTGGGAGGAATTGGGGAGCTAGGGGTAAGCAGGGCAGAGGGACGGGTGCTGAGGGCAGGGCATGTTGGAATGGAGAAGTGGGCGGGGCATGTTGGAGTGGGCGGGGTGTGGGGATGGGTGGAACGTGCATGATTGGGCAGGACATGTCGGAATGGGCGGGGCGTGGAGAAGTGGGCGGGGCGTGTTGAGGTGGGAGGGGTGTGGGAATGGGTGGGGCACATGTGATTGGGCAGGACATGTTGAAGTGGGCGGGGCGTGGGGAAGTGGGCGGGGAATATCGGAGGGGCGGGTGTGTGGGAATGGGCGAATTATGTGCGATTGGGCGGGACATGTTGGAATGGGCGGGGCGTGGGGGAGTGGGCGGGGCGTGGGGGAGTGGGTGGGGATGAGCAGGGTATGTATGACTGGGCAGGGCTTGTTGGAATGGGAGGAGCGTGGAGAAGTGGGCGGGGAATAATGGGGTGGGCGGGGCATGTGGAGAGGGCGGGGCATGTGGCGAGGGCGGGGCGGGGCCATGGGAGGGACACCGAAGGATGAAACGAGCCCCACAAACTCACCTGCAGGATCTTGCAGCGGTCCGACAGGCAGTCCATGTCGTCACAAGGCTGGTACATGCCGAGCGTCACGCAGTTCAGCAGGATCACCATCATGCTGACGCATTCAAACCACGTGCAAGCGGAGTCAAGGACGACAGCCGGACAGAGCTGCCCCCCTCCCCCCACGCAGGTAACAGTCCGCCCTCCCGCCCCGCACTCCTCAGCCCCCCTTCCTGAGTCTTCCCTTCCAGGTGGCTGCGTGCCCACAGGCCCACTCCCAATGGATGGGGCCCACACAGGAGTTAAACCCCTCCATGGGCCAGAGCAATAGTACCGCGGGGAGGATGCTTGCCTTGCATGTAGCTGACCCTGGTTCAATCCCCAGCAGCCCATATGGTCCCCCAAGCTCACCAGGAGTGGTCCCCGAGCATCTCAGCCCTGAGCATCTCCAGGTGTGGCCTCCCCCAAGCCCCACCACTCCCTTCTTTTTTTATATATATTAAAAAAAATTAATAGTGAGACATCATGAGGTACAGTTGCAGACTTACACATTTTTGTGCTTGGGTTTCAATTATACAATGATCAAATACCCATCCCTCCACCAGTGCCCATTTCCCACCACCACGGATCACCACTCCCTTCTGATCCCAGCAGGTCTGAACTCCCAGCATGCCCTGGGGCAGGGGCATTTCCCACCCCCCCCAGCCCCCACCCAACTCCTACTCATCCCTCACAACCCTTCCATCCTTCCCTCTTCTGGAAGCTTCCCTTGATTCAGCCAGAAAAGAGTGGCTTATCTCCCTTTCCAAAAGTGTCCCCTACACCCCAGGTCTAGGTCATGTCACCTAACCAAAATTAGTAGGAGCCACAGAAGTGGGGGGGGGGCACTGTCCAGTCCCTGAGGGCTATGGCCCCTGGGTGGTAGAGGAGGAATTGGGCCAGGGTGTGGGGTATGGCCCAGGGGACAGTGGGCTCCAAAGGTCGAGTTTTCTGGAGCCCCTCCGGGGACAGACAAACAGCACCACCTCCACATCACTGGCACCAGCTGTGTGCGTGTGTGCATGTGTGTGTGTACACGCATGTGTACACATGTATGTGTGTGCGCATATGTGCGTATACATGTGTGCATGTGTGTTGCGTGTGCACGTGTGTGTCTGTGTCGGGGTGGGGATTCGCCCAAGTCTGGACCCTTTCCCTAAAGCCTGGGAGCATCAGAAGCCAGGCACGAGGCGTGTGGCTGCCCGAGGAAAGGCACCTGAGGTCGGGGACCACAGGCGGCCGCGTCTCAGGGGCAGACGGTCCTCAGGGGCCATTCAGGTTGGGTCTGTGGGACTCTGCAGGCCAGCCCTGCGGCCTGAGGTCCACCGCGAGTCTCCACCATGGATTCCCAGCAGCCAGCACAGCGCCAGGCAAGGGTTAGGGCTGATAGGGGCCTCCATGCTGTCTTCATGGGCTCCCCGTGCCACCCCCTGGGCGCAGAGCCCCCCCGCATCTGGGTCCACACAGGGGACCCAGACTCCTTTCCTTCCGCATCACCCAGGCCCCATTTCTGTCTCAGGACAGCCCCACTGAGACCCTCTGGGCAGCTAGTCCAGAGCAGAGATGGGGAAGAGGGCACCACGGGCAGGGATGGGACAGGGCAGGCACAGGGGACCACACACACACACACACACACACACACACACACACACACACACGGGGGTCACTGAGCACAACTGGATTTCAAACCCACCCATGTGTACAGGCTCCGTGCGTGTGGCCAACAGCACGGCCCACAAATTCTGCCTGGGCCAAGGGATGGGGGTGGGGGTGGCACATGGAACCCGGCACCCCCCCCCCACTGCACACGGCACCTCCCCAGGACCCCAGAGCCTGCCCGAGCACCAGCAGCGAGTCCCCAAGCAGCCTGAGCGTCCCCGGCACGCCAGCCCCGAGGGGGCGACCGTGGACATTCACGCTGACGAGTGCGCCGCCCCTGCACCCACAGCCCGTCTGCCACGGAGCGTCGGGGCCGGTGAAAACGTGCCAGTCGGAGCCTCTCAGCTAAAGCGCACGCAGGCGTGGGCCAGGGAGCAGGGCTGGGCCGCGGGTGCAGGCAGGGCCATCTCCTGTCCCCAGCACCCTGAGGCCAAGGAGCCTTCCGAGTGGTGCTCGCGGCTGATTACAGATGATTAGTCCTGGCGCAGAAACCAGCCATCCTGGAGAGGCACAGAGCAGGCGACGCCACCCGCCCGCCAAGTCTCTCCCACAGCTGATGAGAACCAATCGGGCCGAAGCTCCAAGGCTGGCCCCTGGGGGTCCCTCTCCTGCCTGCCCCCCCCTCAACAGGCCTCAGGGCTCGAGTCTCCAGACCCCAGGACCTGAGCTCCCTGCACCTGCCCCCGCCCCTGGAGGTGCATGTGTGGAGCGCCTGCTGTATACCTGCCCGGCTCTCCCCTGCCTCCAGATGTCACCGGTCCAGGGCCCTGTGAAGGTGGCTGGTGCCCTGCTCGGTGACAGCAGCCACACTGCCAGGCCCTGGGCCGTCGGAGGCCATCGGCCTTCACCCCACTCATCATCACATGCACTCGCTCATTTCATTCACTCATCATTCATTTGTTGATTATTGCCTTCATTCGTTCATCTGTTCAGGATTTCGTTTATTCATTTCATTCATTCATTTCCTTCTTCCATTCATTATTTCATTTATTCATTTTTACATATTCATTTCATTAATTCATTTGTTCTTCCAGCATTTCATTCATTCGTTCTATCCACTCATCTATTCATTGTTCTTTTATCTGTTCATTCATTTGTTCATTATTTCATTAATTTGTCCTTTCATTCCTTTGCTCATTTCCTTCACACACTTTACTCATTCATTTCATTCCTTCGTCCATTTCCTTCACACACTTCCCGCATTCATTTCATTCATTTATTCATTCATTTCATTCACCCTTCATCCATCTCATTCATTCGTTTATCCATAATTTCATTCATTTGTTCATCATTTCATTCATTTATGATTTTATTCGTTCTTTCATTCATTCATCCATCCGACTGTCTTGATGAGGAACAGCCACTCTAGCAGAGCCCCCTGGCAGCATGTACTAAAGAAAACAGCAGCCCCCACTAGGGCAGCCCCTGCACGGGCACACCGACCCTCACGAGGGCAGAGAGGGTCACAGCGCAGAGGGCGGGAGGGCAGGCCCGGGGGTCCAGGCTCCAAAAAGCCCAACAGCCCATTCCACCTGTTCCCCAAGTCACCCCAGCACCACCATCATGAAGGGCCCAATGTGGAATTGCCAAGCCTGGTTGTCTGAGTATCGCCAGAGTGACTCCCAGGCCCCCTGGGCATTGCTTGAGAAGATTCTCCCACCTCCCCCCACTAAAAAAAAAAAAAAAAAAAAAAAAAACTTAGCAAAACGAGTGAACCATCACCAAGAAGAAAATCTTGAATGATTTTCTTCCAAGAATCTTCCAAGGGGAGAATCTGGGGGTCAGGGACCTTCAGTGCTGAGACCCTGGTCCTGGGACATCAGGATCCCCAAGAAGAAAACTCAGGATGCAACAGGGAGAAACCAGGAGCCCAAGTGGGGCAGCAGCTGCTTAAGAACCAGGGGGGACCCTCCACTCCCTGGGAGGGAGCCGGCGCCCCTTAATTCCAAGGACGTGCCCAAGGCCACCGCCAGTGAGGGGGCTGCACTGGGCCAGAGCCGCCCCCCATCCCGGCTTCTCCGGGTTCCACCCAGGAGGCAAGACAGACATAACCACGCCCAGAACCTGGCAGGAAACAGACGCCCCGAGCAGGGCCGGCCCGGGGGTGGCCGACAATGCAGAGCTGCCCTGCAGCACACGGACCCCCGGCAGGCGTCCCCACGGAGGAGGGAGCACCGAGCAGTGAGCCCCGCCGTCCCACCCCCAGGCGCGCTCTGCAGCCTTCCTGTGTTAGAAGCGCTCCTTCCACTTGGCCAAAGTCTCTGAGGCCCAGATGCCCGGCAGGCCACGGTGCCCAGTGCAGACAGCCGGAGAGGGGGAGGCAACAGCGAGAGAACAGGACAGCCAGCTTGGAAGGAAACCCACAGGCGGGCGGTTCCAGCCAGGCAGACTCCATGGATGTGCCCACTGCAGCCCCAGTAGGAGAGGGGAGCTGTCCAGGATGCAACTGCCCATCCCCTGCCCCCAGGACCAGAGACCTGCAGAAGTGGGCCCAGCCCGCCTCGGGGAGCGACATTTCATCTCCTAGAGCCTCACACCTCAAACCTCTGCCCCCAGAGAAGCACACACAGAGACCCCTCCTGCCCCCTCTAGGCCTGCCTTGAGAGGGAGTGAGCTCCCGGTCTCTGGAGGAATCAAGGAAAGAAAGGCAGGATTTCTGTTCTAGAGCCCTTGCCAGGCTCCCCTTCCCACCTCGGACCCCTCAGCCCTCCTTCCTCACACCTGTCCCTCTGAGTTCATCCCCTGAGCATCCCCGCCGACGGCACCTCTCCCTGGTCACTGCAGTACTGGGAAGACCTCAGAGCAGACACAGTTCCGGCCGTCCAGAAACCACACGCACACAGGTGATGATGCAGGGCACTGAGATACTGCCCCTCCTGTCTCCCTGGGAGCCACCAATCCCGTTGGCCACACCGGCCCCTCGCTGCTGTCCACTGCCACAGCATCCAGCAGGGCCGACCCACTTGCCTCCCCCACGGGGCTTCTTTGGCATTTCCCCGCCACCTGGAGAAGCTCTCGGGTCCTTCTCTGAGTAATGCTTTTAAATACATAAAGCGTGTGTGTGCGCGTGCGTGTGTGTGTGTGTGTGTGTGTGTGTGTGTGTGTGTGTGTGACGCTCAGGCTGAGATAGGAAGGAAGCCAGTGATGCTAAAAAGAGTTGTCAAAATATTTTTTCAAAAAACAAATTGTGATGGAGAACTCTCCGTGCTCCATTGCCGCACAGGGAGCCCCGGGACAGGGGGGCTCGGGGCTCACTCACCCCCTGGGGGTCCGCAGAGGCCAGGCCCAGGGGCTGCCGGTCACCCCAGCATCCTGCTTCCAAACTGCCTCCCCTCAAGCCTCGGTCTGGCCTTTGTCCCAAACCCCTTCCCTTGGGCCCCAGGACTCTGCAGTGCCTGGCCGGTTCTCCTCCCGGGGGTTCTGCCCAGAAATGCTC